AAAAAAAAAATCCTTCTCCTACTGAGTATGGTGGCTCATACCTATAGTCCTAGCTACTTGGGAGCCTGAGTTGGGGATCAGCTTAGGCAAAAAGTTAGCAGGACCTCATCTCAAGCAATAGCCAGGGCATTGTGGTATATATCTGTCATCCCAAATATGTGGAAGACTTAAGAGGGCCCAACCAAGCACTAGTGACATATATATGTATATATACATATATATATACACATATATATGTATATGCATATATATACATTTAGAATTATAGGGTTATATACATATGTACATATGTATATATATATATATATATATATATATATACACATATATAATCCTATAATTCTAGCTACTCAGGAGTCTAAGGTCTAGCTCAGGCAGACAAATGAGACACTTTTATCTCCAATTAACCAGCAAAAAGCCAGAACTGGAGGTGTAGTTCAAGTGGTAGAGTGCCAGCTGTGAGTGAGATCTCAAGGCCATGAGTTCAAGACCCAGTACTGGCACATATACACAAAAAAGAGACAAAGTCTAGGCTAGCCTGGAAAAAATGCAAATGTTAATCTGAAAAATAACCAAATCAAAAAAAGTAGAAGGCATGGCTCAAGTGGTACAGCACCTTCCTAGAAAGCATCAGACACCAGCACCACCAAAAGAAGGAAAAGTCTTCTCTTGATCGCTCTTCTAGCCACTGGTCCATTTTTTTTCTCCCTTCCTTAATAGCAAAACTTCTCTCACACAGTTCTCTATATTCCTGCCTCCAATTGCTCTCTATTATTCTGTCCTATACCTATCTGCAAGTACTTCTGTCACTCTATAGAACCTACATTTGTCAAAGTCACTAGAAGCCTTCAGATTGCTAAGTACTTATCTTAGCAGTTGTTACTTTAGCATTACTTAACACACTCTCCTACTCGGTCCTCAAAGTCCCATCTTCAGCGATATAATCCCTCCCCACTATGGACTGAATCCAAGGCCTCCCACATGCTAGACATATGCTCCACCAATGACCATGTCCCTAACCCCAAACCCCATCTTCATGGAAAAAGTAGCTATACTCTCTTGGAGAAAAAGAAGCTGATGGAACTTGAATATATGGATTTCCTTGAAACCTAAAAAGCCCCACTGAAAAATCTGGAAATGTTCCTGTACTGTGGAATCTTTTTGACACTAAAGGTTACTGTGTGCCTATGTCACTAAGGCAGCATTTGTTTGAAATGAAAGATGATGAACATTTTACCTTTTGCAAGGCCTGGTTCCTTTACTTCAGACATCACCCCATTAGTAACTACCTTACCCCCACCCCTGTTGTGTGGCCTGCTAGAGTTAGAAAAGCTGCTGGGTAAATCTGGACAGGATACAGAAAGAATAGAAAATTCCCTGCTGACTGATTGCTCAGAAGAGCATGAAGCATGCTTTGCTCTGCATCAAGCTCTGAATAGCTCCTTTTCCAAAAGTAGAATGTACAGGTTTGTAAGTGTCCTGAACAAGATCTTAAGAAACAGTTGCATTTAATGTTTCCCAAACTTAGCTCAATATAGAAATCACCTGGTGCTAACTTAAAAAATAAGGATTTCTGGGCTCCACTCCACATTTGCTGCTTCAGACTCTCCAGCCTCCTTACAGAAACCTAAAATGGATCTCCAATGCTCAGAGTTCTTCATTGCACTAACAAAGGTTCCCTTTGGAAGCAAAGGAAAACTCTCTGCTTCTCTGACAGCCTGAGGTTCATCAGTTATGCACCAGGAAGAACATGTCTAATAGTAAGCATGTGTGCCCTTCCAAAATCATCTATTATCCAGATGGCTCCTGTAGCCATCACTCTGGTGTCAGACAGAATGCAATGCCTACTCATCTGCCAGAGTTCTTTACCCAAAGGAAATATACACTGCTTGGAAGAAAGTGAAATAGATGAAGAGGTTCTCCCTCAGGATGTTTCAGAAGTGAGGTTGAGAAGACCAAAAAACTCCACATCCCAAAACTGGCCCTTCCTAAAGCTCAGTTTTGACTGGTTGGCAAGTAACAGTGAAACCAGGGCAGAGAGAGGCTATTTCCAGACACACCTGCTCTTCCCTGCCTCCTTACCCCCAGAACAAACCATATATACCCCTCAGAAATATAAATCCCAGAAGTTTATCAAGTATAAAAGGGGACTAACCTCATAATAAAGCAGCACAGAAGGTGAGCTTATATCCAAACACCTCTGTCAGCAAAGTTAATCAAAGTCGTTCCTACTTACAGGCAATAAAAATGCCAACGTGATTAGAAAATCTGATGAGATTTTAATGATCAAAGTATGAGGGGAAAATGAAGCATTAATTTGGATACAGGCTTTTCCATCTTCTTAAAAGCCTTCAGAGCAAACATCTTCTAGCAAGCACATGGCTTATTAATACCATGTTTATAATAGCTGCCAATATATATCTAGGAGTAATTTTAGCTGAAACATTTATTGTAGGATTACAAATACATAACAAATCTCAGGTCACTTCTGAGTGACTTATCTTGGTGGGGCAGGAGTTTAACCTAGGAAGCATGGCCCCAGAGTTCTACTACATCTGTCTGCCAGTTTAAAGAAAGATAGCATAACAGTAAGGATGGTTTCAATTTATTGTGTAAAATATTTAAGTTATGACTATACTATTTGAAGCATTTAACATACACAGGTACTCAGGCACAGCAGAGGCTACAAAAAAAAATGTTTGTACTACCTGGTGTTCCAATGGCTCTTACGTATGAGAAAATCATGTTTGCTTTTCCTTTCAGAGTATTTTCTATATTCTGAAGGTCTTCTGGAGTGGCAATATATTTCACTTCATTAAAAAGAAGAGCACTAAGAGAAATATAGATAAAATTATTAGAAGAATATGACTTGTACTTAGTTAATATATATATATATTGGTTAAAGAAGCCTAATCAAATTACCAGTAATAGGAAGTTAAGCATTTTAGTAACACTGTATTAAAAATCAGTCTTCAGGCCATCAGTCTGCCCTGAGAACATGAGCCAAGGCATTTGTGTTCATTCTCTATCTTAAGTTGTAATCCACTCTGGTCTGGACAAATAATTCTTTACAGATAGTTCTCTCAGCCTGAAACATGTAGGAGCCCTTGATATCTCAATATTGTAGAGCACTTTTCTTTTTTTTTATTGTGAAAATACTGTACTGTTACAATTACATGGGCAAGATAATGAGTACATTTCTTATCAAGCATTGTAGCCTCCTCCTTTGTTTCCCCTTCCCATCCCTTCCCATCCTCACCCCCCCCCCCCCCCCAATCCTCCCCCCACCACCAAAGTTGTAAAGTTCATTTTCGACATAACAACTTGTACATCTCATAGTTGCAATGGGTCCACCTATATCCCTATTTAAACGATTTGTTTTTCCCCTTCCCCTCCACAAATTATACTGACATCAAATACAGTGAAAGCAGGGGTTATACTGTGGCCATCTCCTACTCTTATATGGGAGAATCTACATAGTCTTGTATCTTCTGTCATTAAAGAAATTTTAGATCCTTGATATGGGAAGATAAGCTAGCAATTTGTGTAAAATTGACATCTATAAATATAAAATCAAAATCCCAAGATATGTCAATGAGTTCTGGTTGTCTAAAATAAATCAACACCAAATAAGTGAATGAATAGCCTCTGTACTTACAAGAGAACATGGGCGACAATAGCATTCACATCAAATAAGCTGTCAGTAGGGAATTCTCTGAGCAGTATGTTGCCCCTATAAAAAGTTGACAAACACATTGTAAAATGTTGCCTTGGAATTAATTGATCTGTCTACTATAGTAGGTTGTAAGTTCTTTGATGTTAGAGTCAGTGTCTTATCCATGTGCCCATATATCTACCAGAGTGCTAGCACATAATACATTATTCAAATATTCATTAAAATATATATATGTGTGTGTGTATATATACACAATAGATACGGTACTTTTTATAAAAGCATAGGCCCTGGACCTGAAAAAAGATTTGAATAAAAAACAAAGGAGCTGTAATAAAGTTTTCCTAACAAGTTCCCCATCATAAACATATGAATTCCTAAGTTAGGGTGAGAAGATGACCAAGAAGAGAGTGTCCTTAGGAGGAATTTCCTGAGCAAACAGGATATCTCCCCAATTCCTAGGCCATATATTAAGGAGTTGAATAAAGAATATGAGACACCTCAGGAAGATTAACAGACCCAAGTGGAATTTGCAATCAAAACCCTGGTGGGTCCCTCAAAAAAAAAAGTACTTCTAAATATGCAACTGATAAAGCAACAAATAACAATAAATTTGCTAAGAGCCTATTGGCAAAACAGTTGCATTAGGAATTTATGTAAGACTCTTGTGTAATATACAAAACAATCCTGTGTGGTAGGTATTACTTTTTACATTTTTTTGAAAATAAAGAAGTTAAAGTTCAGAGGTTAGGCAACGAATCTAATACTTGAACATTTTGCCAAGCTTCCTATGATCATCATTAAGTATGACTTTTTTCCTTGCTTAATGAAATTTTACATATAGAATATTCTAGCTACTATAGCTTTTCTAAGAAAAATTTACCTGAATAAATACGCTTTCATCAAATACTTTTCATTTCCACAATATTTTGATGTTTCTTCTTTGACACAATTAACCTATAAAAGATTACATTGGATATTCTGGGTATACACAAAAGGTCAAGTTACTTGGTTAGGAAAATAAGGAGAATTCAACATTACACTCTAACCTCAGGCCAAAGTTTGAATTTTACTTTTTGTCTGATGTATATACTCTCACTGTTCACTAATTCAAGTGCGTGAGAAAACCCACAGAAAAGAACTGCTTCAATACCATGAACTGATAATTTAATTAAACCTAACAGTTTACATTTAATTCAGTCTTGCAAATAAAATAAGAGGTTGAAAAGGAAGGATGTATTGAAAGCAAGACATAAAAGTAGGCAGAAATTCCAGAAATCAGGCTGAAGGAGAAGGAGCAGATTACTTAGGGTAGAGCTCGGTGAATGCTCAGCACAAAATGTGACCATGGTTCAATCCCCAGCAGGGGGGGGGGGAGAAAGGAAAGAAAGAAAGAGAGAAAGAAAGAAAGAGAGAAAGAAAGAAAGAGAGAAAGAGAGGGAGGGAGGGAGGGAGGGAAGGAAGGAAGGAAGAAAGGAAGGGAAGGAAGGAAGGAAGGAAGGAGGGAGGGAGGGAGGGAGGGAGGGAGGGAGGAAGAAATCAGCCAGAAAGCACAAAAAACTGAGTGGGAAGTTCCTAATATCAAAGTATCTCTACAGCTGTACATAGGTGTGGCAGATACTTCTGGCTTCCTACTCTACATACATTTGCTAAAAGAAAATGCCTCATTAAAAGGTTTTTCCAACCTCATAAACAGCTCAAGATAGCCAGAGTTAGGAGAAGTCACTGGGGTGGGATTCTTAAGACAATTCTAAAAACAAGGATGGCTGATACTCTTGTTCTTCACCACTTCTTTTTTTTAATCCTTTTTTTTGTAAAAATACTGTACAGAGGGGTTACAGTTACATGAGCAAGGTAATAAGTACATTTCCTATCAAGCATTATTATCTCCTCCTTTGTTTTTCCCCTACCCTCCCTTCCCTCCTTACCTCTACAACTACACTCTCCTTCTCTTCCCTCCCCTCTCCCTACCTAAATTGTAAAGTTCATTTTTCAACATCTCATTTTATATATCTCATTGTTACAATGGGTCAACCTATTTAAGCATTTTGTTTTTTCCTTTCCCCTCCCCAAGCTAGAGAAGCTTCACCACTTCTTGATAAAAAGCCAACATGACCAGTAGGGTACCAGTGACAATTATGGACCACAAGAGCATAATAAAAAAACAAGGAAAACCTACTTGTTAAAAATGGTGCAACAGAGAAAATGAAGCTGAGTGTATGATGGTGTTAGAGCAGCCCTAGAGTTCATAATCTGGGCTTTATAGGAAAAGTTCATGCAGACAAAATGGAAATGTGAGAGAATGCAAAGATAAGGTTGAGTATACTACAGGTCAGTAATGATTGGAACCTGAAGAAAAGACAAAAAGGACAATAACAACAACTTAAAAAACCCTCAAGAGATTCCTCACTAATAAATACACGTAGGGAGAAAATTATGCATATGAATCATGAGACAGAGAGAGAGAAGAAAGAGATAAAAATGCAGATTTCTAGGTAGAGCAAATGAATTGCTACCAACATAACCAAAATAAAGCTAGGAAAATAGCTATAAATTTGGTTAGGTTTTCATTTTCTTTAAGATTTTCATTGTTTGACTTAGTAGAATTTGAGGAAACAATGACAGCTGGGGAAGTAACATTTGTTTTAAAAGCTACAAAAGGGGGAAATGACACTCAGAAAAGATATCAGGAATAGAGAATTTGAATTAAAAGTCTGAATATAGCCATGACCAAAAAGTGAATATTTGTGCACATGGGTATGTGCATGGACATTTTAACAACAGATGTGTACAGTCATTCATCCACTACACATACATCTAAACACCTACCGTGTTATCACTGTTTTAGTCACTGGAGATAGTTAAGCTGCACATAAAAATCTTTATCTTTTGAATGTATGTGCTAAATGTAGAGGCAATTAAAAAATTGCTTAATGTATAATGTGAAATACTATACATAAAAACCAATAAGGAGAACATTTAGGGAGGGCAGTTTAGATAATCAAAGAAGGCTCCTTTGAAAAGGTGACATTGGTACAAAGAACGGAATAGATGATAGATAGATAGATAGATAGATAGATAGATAGATAGATAGATAGATAGATAGATAGATAGATAGATAGATAGAAAGATAGATAAGATAGATAAGATAGAGATAGGTAGATGAGTTCTAAGCAGAGGGAGAAATACGTGCAAACCCTCAATGGTGACAGCACCTCTAGCAGGCTCAAGTAACAGAGAGATAGCCAGTATATATCAAAAAACAAGCCAGGCAAAGTAAAAGGTTGAAAAATGAGGTCTGAGTCAGTCCCAGCCTTCATAATACTCAGGAGTTTTAATTTTAGCATAATTATGATAAGCCTTTTTTAGCAGTAGTAATGTGTCCTGACACATCTGATTACATATGAGGAAGAATTTACATTGGGACAATAGTGAAAAGTCTAAGTCCCAACTATTAGAAGACTACTATGGTTTCCCAGACAAGAAGTGATGATAAGGAGGATACAGGAAGTTGTCAGGCTGGAAAGTCTTAATGGTAGAATCTAGTTAATAGATGGTCTGGTTTTAAGAAAAAATGTGAGTATGACTGAATAGTACCTTGTTTCAAAATCTACTTTGATACAGTCACATAGCTACACTACATTTCTTTTGGTTACCATTTGTATATTTTTTCCTTCCTTTGAAGATTTCTGCAGCTTGTATTTTAGACACATTTCTAAATAGCATACTACAGGATATGGTTATTGTCTCCAGCTTGACAACCTTGTCTTAACTGGACATTTAGTCTATTTATATTTTTCTAGATACATATAGAATAGATTCTCTCTATATTTTTATAGTGTTTTCTTCATCCACCTCTGCATTTCTCAAACACTTCTCTTCTTGAGGTGTTACCAAATACCATCTGTGATTTCCACTTCAACAGGCTTTGTTTTGAAAGTCCATGGTACTTTATGTGTATCTCTCTTATGGGAATGCTCGTTTTTCTATCCATTAAAATGATTTGTAGATGTATTTCATCTTCCCTATTTAAGATATATCTTTTCCAAAGAAAAGGACTAGTCAGGGCTGGGAAGGTGGCTCAGTGGTAGAGTGCTTGCCTTGCATGCATGAGGCCCTGGGTTCAATTCCTCAGCATCACATGAGCAGAAAAAGCCAGGAGTGGCGCTGTGGCTCAAGTGGTAGAGCACTAGACTTGAGCTGAAGAGCTGAGGGACAGCGCCCAGGCCCAGAGTTCAGGCCCACGACAGACAAAAAAAAGGAAAAAGAAAAAGAAAAGGACTAGTCATATCTCTACCCAGAAGAAGACTAAATACAGCAAGCTCATTTCAATCTCACAAATATTTACTCTCTCCAAAGTTCTTAGTCACCACTGTGTCTTTTCCACTGTCTCAGTGTACTCAACATAAAACCAAGAGTTTAAGTTACGTTAGTTAATAACAGCAACAGCCTGGACACAAACTTTAATATTACTATCCAGTTACTAAATATATAATACTAGGAACTCATCTCCTAGTTACTAGATAAACAGTGATTACCCTTTTTAGGTTTCATATCAAGTTCCTATTGCATTTAGAAATTTCACTTTACATTTTTTATTCAAAGCTCCTAGAAGAAGATTAGTGCTGTTATCATTTTGGAATGGACTCAGTTGCTCAAAGTTAACTGAAACTTCTACACACACAGAATTAACACACGAAACCATTTACTTTTTGTTTCTAAAAGTATATAGAGTTTATTTTATTTCTAAAAGTATATAGACAAGGTTAGCTAACATTTCTATGCTTCCTGCTTTAGGAAGTCTACTTGTACAGACTAAAAAAAATAACAGGTATAATTGAGATAAAGAAGACAAATGAACTAAGAAAAAATAGGTAATGCAAAAGTCAGGTAGATATTAATTAAAAAGAAATTAATGTTATTGGATTATTTCACTCATTTTTCTGAGTTTCAGATTATAAATTTAAAGGAAAACTATTCCATGGCAAACTTGAACATTTTAAGAAAAAAATGATATACTATGAAATTAAGTTGTTTTTATTTTGTTCTAAAAAAATAAATGTTAGTCATTACAATAACAATTATAAAGCTTGGCACCAGCAGTTCATTCTTGCAATCCTAGCGACTTGGGAGGCTGAGATCTAAGGATCACAGTTAAAGCTAGCCTAGGCAGGATAGTCCATGAGACTTTTATCTGCAATAAACCACCAAAAAGCCAGAAATAGAGGTGTGGCTCAAGTGGTAAAACGCTAGCATTGAGCAAAAAAGCTAAGGGGCCCACAAATCAATTATAACAACTTAGATGTGAGAAACCACAATGAAAAATTTATAAAGACTTAGAAAAATGAAAAAACAAAAATTCTTCAATTATATTATTTGGGGGGGGGAGGGAGTATCTGGTCGTGGGGCCTGAACTCTGGGCCTGGGCGCTGTCCCTCAGCTCTTCAGCTCTCTACCACTTGAGCCACAGCGCCACTTCCGGCTTTTTTTCTTTTTGCTTATGTGGTGCTGAGGAATCGAACCCAGGCCCTCTGACATGCAAGGCAAGCGCTCTACCACTGAGCCACCTTCCCAGCTCCTCAATCATATTATTTTGTTGCCTTAGTTGGTACTAATGAAAATTTAACAAGTAGTTTAATTGTTGCTACTATGAAATATTTGTCAGACAAAACAAAACAGAATTAAAAACTAAGTACAGTTTTGAAAAATGATATACCTAATAGACTAGTTTAGGAAATCAAGGTCAATTATTAAAAAATTAGTTTCCTTTACTCTGTAAGCGCTGTATTATAAATAAATATAAAAAAAATTCTGAAACTAACTTTCTATGCTTCTTTTTATTCTTATGTTTAAAAAAAAAAGACAAAAAGGAGGGTGGTATAGAGCTAATGCCAACCCAGGCAAAAAGTTAATCAGACCATATCTAAACATGGAAATCAGGTATGGTATCATGCACTTTTGTCCCAGGTAAACAGGAAGCAGAAGCAGGAGTACTACGACCCAAGGATGGCCATGGGCAAAAGTATGAGAAACTATCTGTGAATAACTAAAGCCCAAAAGGCTGTTGATATGACTTAAGTGGTAAAATGTCTGTTTAGCAAGCACAGAGGCCCTAGTTCACACGCAAGTACTCCCTACCATTTACCCTCCCCCCAAAAAAGAGGAAGAAATATTCTTCCTGTCAGGAAAAAGATATGAAAGTATTTTTAGCTACTCATTCTTGTAGTTATAAAATGTTTGTTAATATTTTAGCAACATAAATTTCTTTTTACCTTTGCAACTGAAATCCCATAGTCCTGGAGAGGGCTAACAGCCTCATTCAATTGTTCAAGAAATACTGCGGTACTCGGAGAATCTAAAACAAAAAATGTTTCATGAAAATTTATGAATTGCTCCTTTAAAAAGATGAATTTTAAATATTAAAGTCAAAACCTGCAAAAAATAAATTTGTCTAGGCTTCAACAGCAAATATACATATACAGTTACATTTATTTTTAAATTTTTTTATTTTTGTAAAAATGCTGTACAGAGGGGTTACTGTTACATGAGTAAGGTAATGAGTACATTTCTTGTCGAACATTGTTACCCATTGTTACCCTCCCTGCCCCCGCCTCCAGATGTTATAAAGTTCATTTCCAACATAGTGTCTTGTGAGTATTTTTTGTTGCAATGGGTCATCCTTTGTCCTTCTGTCAGCATTTTCTTATTCCCTTTCCCTTCCCCAAATCAGATAAATGTATAAACAAGTTGGAGGGTACCAGAATCAAAGACAGAGACAAACAAATGGAAAAAGAAAAATGAAATAAAATAAGCAAGAACTAGATATAGTACATTGGCAACAACAAGGTCAACAACCAAAAAAGAACAGACCTGTTGTTTCCATGACTTGGAGTTCATTTCAATTAGCATCATTTTGTATGATCATATGTACATAGCTATGAGCTATTATGATTCTCTGCCAGGACTATCCTAGAAATACTCTATTACAAATGAGGGAAACCATAGAGCCTATGTTTCTTTGGATCTGGATTATTTCACTTAATACGATTTTTTTCCATGTCTTTCCATTTCCTTACAAAAGGGGTGATGTCATTCTTTCTAATAGAAGTATAAAAATCGATTGTATGTATATACCACATTTTCTTGATCCATTCATCTATTGAGGAGCATCTGGGTTGGTTCCATATCTTAGCTATAGTAAATAATGCTGCAATGATAATGCTGCAATGAACATAGTTGTGCTGGTGGCTTTAGTGTGGCCTAGCTTGTGATCATTTGGATAAATGCCCAGGAGTGGGACTGCTAGATCATAGGGGTGTTTTATGTTTAATCTTTTGAGGAACCTCCTTTGAGGCCTCCTCAAAGTCTTTTAAGGAAGCCTTCCAGAGTGCTTGAACCATCTTACATTCCCACTGACAGTGTAGTAGCATTCCCTTTTGGCCACATCCCCATCAGCATCTGTTATTATTTGTTTTCTTGATAATGGCTATTCTAACTAGGGTGAGGTGAAATCTCAATGTGGTTTTGATTTGCATTTCTTTTATGGCCAGCGATGTTGAGCATTTCTTCATGTGTCTATTGGCCATTCTTATTTCCTTTCCAGAGAAGTCTCTTTTGAATTTTTCAGCCCATTTATTAATGGAGTGGTTGTTTCTTTGGAGATTTGTAATGGGGGGGGTAATTTTTGAGCTTTAGGTTTATTTTTAATATGAGACCTTTGTCTGTTGTATAGCTAGTGAAGATCTTCTGTGGGTTTTCTATTTTTCTTGCTAGCTATGTCCTAGTTACATATTTTAATACCCTTATTTCCATATTGCCTTATTATTATTTCTAGTATTTTTTATCATTTATATAACTTTATAAATGACCTTAAAATTTTTGCAGATGACGTAATTCTAGCTACTCAGGAGGTAAAGATCTGAGGATCGCAGTTGAAGCCAGTCTGGGCAAGAAAGTCCATGATACTCTTATTTCCAAATAACCACCAAAAAACCAGAAGTGGAGTATGGCTGAAGTAGTAGAGTGCTAAGCCAGTTGCTGGTGGCTCATGCCTGTAATCCTAGCTACTCAAGAGGCTTAGATCTAAGGATTGTGGTTCAAAGCCAGTCCAGGCAGGAAAGTTGGTGAGACACTTATCTCCAATTAACCACCAGGAAACCTGAAGTGGCACTGTGGCTCAAGTGGTAGAGTGCTCACCTTTAGCTAAAGAGCTCAGGGACAGTGCCCAAGCCCAAGAGTTCAAGCCCCACAACTGATTTTTTTAAAAAAAGTCCATGATACTCTTATTCCCAATTAACTACCAAAAAACCACTAGTGGAGCTATGGCTCAAGTAGTAGAGTGCTAGCCTTGAGTGACAAAGTTCAGGGGCAGTGCTCAAGACCTGAGTTCAAGCCCCAAGATTAACACACACACACACACACACACACACACACACACACACACACACTCCTATTTAACAACTATATGATAAAAATGTCCAAATCTTTATTTTTTTCACATTTAAGAGGAAAGCAATATAAACATGGACTTACTTAATTTACTATTTCTAATAAGAGAATAGCACTTTTAAACCATGAAGCCTTAAAGGAGTTCATTACAATTATTTGTTATGTTCAATAGCTATGTTAGCTAATCCAATATAATGAATGATACAGCTAAAGCAAAGTTTACTGATCTATTTTGTATTTTTAAACTTTCTAAAATATTGACATGCTGAAAGCATGAAAAGCATACTCTCAGAAATGATCAGATAAGGGGCTAGGAAGGTGGCTCAGTGGTAGAGTGCTTGCTTTGCAAGCGTGAGGCCCTGGGTTCAATTCTTCAGCATCACATAAATAGAAAAAGCAAGAAGTAGCACTGTGGCTCAAGTGGTAGAGAGCTAGCCTTGAGCTGAAGAGCTGAGGCACAGTGAGCACCCAGGCCCTAAGTTCAAGTCCCATGATTGACAAAAAAAAAATGATCAGATGAAATTGACATGTTATATAGCAATAACCAATTCTTAACTAGTATTTACTATGAACTAAGCATATGAGTATCTTATTTAGCCCTCACAATAAATTTAGCAAATACTTTTTCCTTATAATAGATGATGGAAGAAACACAGGGAGAAGCTAAGTAATGTGAAACTAAGGTCCCACATAGGTCCCACCATGCAGGCAGGCATAGTATAACAAAAGTTTTATCATACATGCCATTACTCCTGACAGCAACGCCCCACTGAGCACACTAAACAGTAACATAAATACCACAAGAGTAATTTTAGAATCTTAAAACTTACCAGTTTGACAAAAATAAGCTAAAGAGGCTTTTCCTGGTTGCAATGTACTGAAATAATTCTGAGAACTCACTTCTGGCAGAGAATCTTCAGTTGACTTATAAAAAATGCACATTATGACAAAAGAGATGTCAACTCTAAAAACACTGAAGCCAGAAGACATCACGTGCTGCAGCTGTATATGAGCAGGAGCTGTTGCCTCTTCTGTTCACTGCTGTCTTCTATTGCCTCTGACAACACCTGGCACAGGGTAGGTTTTCAGCAGTTCTGTTAAATGGAATTTGTTAAATGAACGACGTTAAATCTACAAAAAAAAAAAGTTGTTATTCATACTGTTTAACTTTGCTAGAAGTTTCCTATTTCCTCATAGTAAAAATCTGAGAGTAAAAAAAAATGACATGTAATGACATTGGTTTATTATTGGATAATACTATTGGTGTTTCAAGGGTTATTTTTGTAGTCCTAGGACTGAATTTAAAGCCTGTACTTAGTCCTTGTCCTCAGCCCATTTTGCTTTCTTCAGTTTGTTTTTCATAGAGGCTGGCCAAAGACTCTGATGCTTCTGGCTCTGCCTTTGAAGTAGTTGAGATTTCCGACTTGTGTGCCATCATGTCCAGCTAATGCTATTGATTTCGTTTTCTGCAGTGCTGGGGACTGAAAACAGGATTTCATGTATGATAGACAAATGTTCTATCACTAAACTACCTTCCAGAACAATCTTATTTGTTTTTTATAATTGTGAAAGAAATAAACTTCTGGAAAATACATAAGTAGGTATCTTAAATTTCAAAGGTATTTATAGAAGTATGTTAAGCTGCTATTTTATTTTCTCTTTCTTTTATTTTGTTTTGTTTTGTTTTGGTCAGTAGTGGGGCTTGAACTCAGGGATTGGGCTCTGTCTCTGAGCTTTCTGGCTGAAGGTTAGCACTCTACCACTGTGAGCCACAGCTCAAAGTTTTCTGATGGATAATTGGAGATAGGAGTCTCACAGACTTTCCTGCCTAAGCTGGTTTTGAACCATGATCCTCAGATCTCAGCCTCCTAAGAATTATAGGCATAAGCCACTAGCACCCAGCAAAGCTGTTATTTTCTTAATTTCAATATTAATTCTCAACTGCCAACTGATCTTTTAACTGAGAATTTTATCTTCCAGTTGGTTGCAATAAATACTAAAATAGGTACTTAAAATCATTGAGATGTCTCCCATATTCACTTTCTTTTTAGTTTAAATTTCCTACATGATATCTATTAGGACTATGCAAAATTTTTTTCTAAATATATTTCTTATTATTTTTTATTGTTATTATAAAGGTGATGTACAGAGGGGTTAGAGTCCTGCCCCTGCTTCTCCCCACAAGTTGTATAGTTCATTTTATTTTTCGTTCTTAATTTACATTTCAGGTAAGGGGTTAGTGATTCATGCCTGTAATGCCATCTACTCTAGAGACAGCAATTGGGAGGAACAGGTTCAAAGCCGGCCTAAGGAGAAAACAAGACTCCCACATCTCAACCAATAGCTAATCCTCATAGTATATACCTATCATTCAAGCTAAGTATAAAAGCATTAATAGGAGGATGGAGGCCCAGGCTTGTCCAGGCACAAAAATGAGAGCCTATCCCCAAAATAACTACTCCAGGAAGAATAAATAGGAGGATCATGGTCCAATAAAAAGTGAGACTCACATCACAAAGACAACCAAAGCAAAAAGGGCAGGAGGCATGGCCAAACTTTAGTAAGAAATAAAGAAACAATAAAACAAAGCAAAAAAGATTGGCAGTGTGACACAAATGGTAGAGTGCCTACCTACGAAGTGCAAAGCTCTGAATCTAACCCTCATACTGAAAAAAGACATATTTTGTTATACTGCTTCAACATTTAAGTCTTTCTCAATTTATACTTTAATCCAGGTTTATTTAATTCAGGTTTGGTCTAGACATATCCCTCTCTTCTTCCCTAGTATACTTACTTCCATTTCCCCTGAAATTGTCTTCTCTTTTGCTATTTTCAGTGTTTGTCCTGAACAACTTCAGATGTTTTCTACGGATGACCTATATTGTCTAAGTATAAAAGAAGATATTTTAGGAAAATTAGCATAGTAAAAAAACATGCTTGTAGAATATTACAATGTACTCACAGGTATCAGTGTAAATTTTAAGTGTTCTAACTTTTCACATAGGACTCATATGTTTCAAACACAAGATTACTGTTTCAAAACAGGCAAAAACAAATCCTGTGAATATTATTTCATTTAGTCAAAATAAAAGTAGACTTTTTCCTGTAAAAAAATGAAATGATAAAAGAATAAAAATTTATGGAGAAATCATAAGACCTTGGATAACTATTCTGGTCATTTGGTAAGATCATTAAGCACATAATATACTTCTTTTTTTATTGTGAAAATACCATACAGAGGGGTTACAATTACATGGGCAAGATAGTGAGTACATTTCTTATCAAGCATTGTTGCCCCTTCCTTTGTTTCCCCATACCATCCCTTCCCCTCTCCAATAATATACATCTCTAGTGAGCAGGTTTTCCTACAAAAATAAGCTAACTTTTCATTCATTATTTCCTAACAAATCCATTCATGAGTTAATTTATACCAGCGAACAAATCTGCCATCAATTTCTTTTTTTCTTTTTCTTTTTTTTGGTCCAGTCATGGGGCCTGAACTCTGGGCCTGGGACCTGTCCCTCAACTGTTCAGCTCAAGGCTAGCACTCTACCACTTGAGCCATAGCACCACTTCTGGCTTTTTTTCTTTTTGCTTATATGGTGCTGAGGAATCAAACCCAGGGCCTCACGCATGCAAGGCAAGCGCTCTACCACTAAGCCACCTTCCCAGCCCCAGCCATCAATTTCTTATTTCAAGTCAAGTGTTCAAAAACACAAAGTGAAATGGAAAATGAGAACTGTGAGAGGCATATAAAAATGTAATTTTAATGATATATTAAGAAATATCCTTGACATTAAAATTGATTATACACTATGGTCATTTTAAACCAGCCTACTTTAAAGCCACTTTAAATTAATGGAGATGTTTAAAACAGTCATCCCACTATTTTCTTTATATTCTAGAGGAAAATGAACACATTCCTGAGACTAAGAGACTAACTATATAATATTCATTATTAAATAAAAGAATTATAATCTAATTAAAGCATAAAAATTAGGTAAAAACACAATTGAAAGATTCAAGCATAAAAATCATTTTCCCTTGCCTTGAGGTTTACAATTCAGTTAGTCTAACAATAAAGTGTACATTAGGTTAACATTATCCTTTTTCCCTAAAATTCATTTTATAACATCAAAAGATCTAACCATACAGTCAGTATCTGAGTACTTTCCCACAGCTTCTATCTCATTAAAAAATAAGATTATATGTGTGAAAGTAAGAGATATGTCACTTTCAGGCAATATTTTTGTTTTGTTTTACATACAAAATTTTGTTATGCCAGGCGCCGGTGGCTCACACCTGTAATCCTAGCTACTCAGGAGGCTGAGATCTGAGGATCACAGTTCAAAGCCAGCCTAGGCAGAAAAGTCTGTGAGTCTCATCTCCAATAAACCACTAAAAAAACCAGAAGCGGCACTGTGGCTCACAGGGTAGAGCGCTCACCTTGAGCTGAAGAGCTGAGGGACAGGACCCAAGCCCCAGAGTTCAAACCTCATGACCTACCAAAAAAAATTGTTATACAAAAAACAATTTTGTTGTACAAAACCTACAATAATCCCAAAACCCAGATTCCTGTATGGTCAAGGAAGCACACTGATCAAACTGCTCTGTCACAGAACAAAAAGAAAGTAAAGCCAATTTTAGCTTTGTCCAAGCATAACAAAAATGGCAGGCCCTCTCAAAAGGCAAAACCAAAGAGCATGGAGAAATATGTCCCAGGGCATGTATAGAGTAAGAACTATTTATTACTGAGCTAGAATGAAATAATTGTTGTGAACCAAAGTTTTTGAAGAAGCCGCATCTCACTAAAAATCCTGCAGAGATAGTTGGTCTTGGCTGAGTAGAACATGATTATTGTGAGATAGAAAAATTTTAAGTCAACAGTCAAAATTATTGAGAGCTACCTTTAGCCTCTTTTATAGCCACTCACAGTTACCTCTGCATTCAATCTACCTCACTCTTAACTTTTGGAATGTACCACAAAGCTGAACACACCTAGCTTCCATCAACCCTAAAGCTAAAGAATGTGTTAAAGACAACATCTAAATACTAGATTCCCTTGCCTTGTGGTAGCTTATCTACCTGATGACTCCTTCTACATTTTGTAAACACAGTGATTTGTGACTATCTTTTCTGTGTCCATAAAAGTTCATGTAATATTTTCCATGGTAAAATATGTCATTTAGGGTAACTTGAATCTCTGTTCCCAGGCCATGGTCCCTCAGATTTGGCTCAGAATAAGCTTTTTTTTTAATTTCCTTAAAGCAGAGTTAGTATTTCTACATTAATATATAGAAACTGGGTATAAGTTTAGACGCTTCCACAGCAATTTAATGGTAATTCTGTAACTATTAAATCCAATAACAATTTTAAGTTCTTGTAATATGAGTTTTACTTTGTTTTTTCAATAATTCATTTTTGTTATGTTTACTAAAAATTCAAACAGAGCAGATATTTTTAAACCTTTCTTAAAAAGAGAGGTGTGTAAAAAGATTTCAACTCTAGATTTCTACTGTCTACAGTGTGGTATGTGTCTTTCATTCTACTCTTCTCTAAATGGGAATACTTAACCTGTTGCTATATAACCCAAGGTATTCAACAGAATGTGAGAAACAGACAGTTTATATCTAAATGAAAAATAAATGACCACTTCTGTGAATTCCTCAAAGAAGCTGAATTTTGAGCTTGATCCAGTGACTGGATGGGATTTGAGGATTATCTCTAGTACAAAGTCAGTGGCGGGACTGCCTCACAAGTGTGAAGCCCCAAATTCAAACCCAGTACCATCATCAAAAGAAAAAAAATTCCATGTTGAACAACATGTAGGATATGGATATTTGTTAACATGAAGGCTGGGCTGTCATTTTTCTAATTCTCTATACATGATAAAATTATACTTCCTGATTTCATTGAGCTAATCTGGCCAATAAAATGTGAAGAGTGACATAAAAAAGTTCTGAGGGCTGGGAATGTGGCCTAGTGGTAGAGTGCTTGCCTAGCTGGCATGAGGCCCTGGGTTCGATTCCTGTGTACCACATAATTTTTTTTAAGTTCTGAAAGCTTCTAAGATCAGAATACATGAGTTAAGATTTATGACAAGCATTCCTTTTGCTGTGAGATAACACTCAAAATGAGGCCTGTATGCAGTCCAAGTCTCAGAAACAGAATGACAGAACAAAGCTCCCAGCTAAAGTATGTGAACATAAGATGTCTTGTTTTGGGAGTTAACACAAAATAGCTTAGCCTAGCACTACTGCTATACTTGTCCTCATAATGCATAAGAGGAGAGTGAGTTGAACATAAAATATATGTCCAAGAGTCAGCTTGGGCAGGAAAGTCGGTGAGACTCTTATCTCCAGTTAACCACCAGAAAACCAGAAGTGGTGCTGTGGCTCAAGTGGTAGAGTGCTAACCTTGAGCTGAACAGTTGAGGGACAACACCCAGGCCCAAAGTTCAAACCCCACGACTGACAAGAAAAAAAATATGTCCCAGATTTTAAAACAAGAGAATTCAAAGAATTCGTCAAAATTTTACTCAATTACATTGGAAGAAAATTATAAAAAGAAAGATGACTATTTAAAATACAAATAACTGAAGCCAGGCACCAATGGTTCACACCTGTAATCCTAGCTACTAAGGAGGCTGAGATCTGAGGATCATGGTTCAAAGTCATCCTGGACAAGACAGTCCCTCAAAGTCATCTCTAATTAATCTCACACACACACACACACACACACACACACACACACACACACACAC